ATATGACAATGTATGTTATAGCTATGGAAGAACACTTGAATAACAGTAACAATAACAATAACAATAATTTACCTAATGACAATAAAGCAATTATGTAAAAAGCTAAAGATAACCGTTTTTCTCTTACATTTTTTAATCTTTTAAATCTGAATCATTTATCCAATATTTTATATAAGATAAGGGAACCGCTTTGGATGCGGTTTAAAATGGAGTGTATTCCTAAGCACTCGCTTGTCTGAGATGGCTTTATAATTGTATAGTTGTATTGTCAATAAGATAAATGCTTTAAATAGCATACCAAGTGTATATCGAAATTTGTTGCTTGTTCAGTGTTGCGTGTACAGTGCACACTACTCAGTACCGCAATTTTGATATTCCATATCTCTATTATTCGGTGGACTTGAGTAGCTAGAAGTAGCAATATATAAACAAGAATGCGTCCTTGTTTGACATACGAGCTTACTCCAGGTATCTCGCTCTGGCTTTTGGCGTGGAATAAGTCTGATATGCGGTTGACTACCTTGTGCAACAGTTCCGCTGTTGGAATGAATCCGAATTGAAATATAACGATGGAGTTCGGAATCTTGTTCACAAAATGTAAGTAGGAGAGTGGGTCTGTATGACTCTAGGTTTTTAGGAGGGTTCCAGTGTAATAGCTTGATGCACTTCCAATTATCTACATTCATTTTTATTTTCTAAGGGGAAAAGTTCCGTTTGATGTGATTTATGTTTTGGGTAATGAAGCACTACTACTTGCAGTAGCACAACTGGACAGGTGGGGGTCTTAACAGAATAAACAGCATCAGCTGATAGCAGATATGTGCAATGGCAGGGTGTCCACAGCTAAGGTACTTTGATATCTGATAGGTTGTGTAGTAGCTGAGCATATCTACTTGTGCCAGGCTAGAGCTAATGAGTTTCCAGGCACTTTGCCAGGTAGTTTGCCAACTACAGGCACAGCTGCTACTCATAGCTCGCATTCCTAACGGTTGGCACAACTGTGATTCTTTCTTAACTTGTTGTCCAGCCAGCAGTCGAGCGCCTTTGGCCCCACCTGGGCTCGCCGCAGCGAAGCGCAACAGGCGGAAACAGTTGCCGCCAAGTGGCAGCAGTGAGTAGAGTAGGGAAACGAGAGCCAAGTAACCAGGTAGCAGCAAGCTGGGCAAGCAAGCACTCAATAGGCTCTAAGCTGTGCTCAGTGTCCGTCAGCGTCTTGGGCATCAAATTAGCGGAAAATTACAGATGTTTGTTGTTGTTGCCGTTGCTGTTTCAGTTTTTATTGATGTTGCTATTGCTATTGCTCTTGCTGTTGGTGTTGGTGTTGGTGTTGGTGTCTTGCCGTCTCGCTAACGCTGCTCATGTGCCTTCAAATAACTTTTTTCTTTCTGTTTGTGGCTCCATTGATTGCACACACAAATTTGAAAAGCTTTTGCATAAATGGTAATGGAAATCCAGCCAGGCGAGCACAATTAAAAACGAAACTTCAAATGCAACAATATCATGGTGTTGTTGTTGCTGCTACTGCTGCTGCGGCGACACCTGCACACAAATTGTTGGCATAGTTTTTGTGGCAGCGCCTACATTAGCAGCAGCAGTGGCAGCAGCAGCAGCAACAATCGACAAAAGCCAATCCATCGATAGCAGACATGTTAAATGGTAAGACAAAAACAACAAAAACATGAGCCGAAGCAGCAGCACTGGTAACGAAGTTTACAGCGACGTCAGCGTCTACGTCGACGTCGACCACCAGTCAACCTTAAACAGAGGAGCCTAGGAGAGACAAACCTCAGGCGCCAACAACAGTAAAAGCAGCAGAAATGCAGCAAATGCTGCTGCTGTATGTGCTGAAAATAGAAGAGAGAAACGAAGAGAGTGGAATCGAGAGAGAAAGACAATCAAGCAATTGAGCCATGCCCAGTTGTAAGCTATGTACACACACACGCATATATTTACATGAATATGTATACATATGCATGAATGTATATGAGACAGGCGAAATATAAATGAAATAGCTAAGACGAATGCCGCCGCAAAAGCCGACGTTTATATGCGACCGAGCGACTGACAGTGGAATGCACAGTGGCAAGCAATACCTTACAAATGTTAACTGGTTCTGTGCGCCAATAACTGGTTTGCTGTTCTTTCAGATATGCCGAAAAGAAACCGAAAAAATAATTCTATATTGTTTTAAGTGTTTCATGAGTTATCCAAGAAGGCAATATGATATTGTCTTTTTTTCAGGGTATAAAACCCATTTTCAATGGGAAATCAGGGTATGATCATTTTGTTAAATGTGTGTAAAAGGCAGAAGGAGGCGTGGCAGACCTCATAAAGTATATATATATATATATTCTTAATCAGAACGAGTAACTGAGTCGATATAGCCCTGTCCGTCCGCCCGCCTGTCCGTATGTTTCAACGCGTCGATCTTAGAAGATATAAGAGCTACAGACTTGACACTTTTTTCCTTCTCGAAACTCGTTATAAATTTATATCGGTTGCATCTTTAAAGCATCTCGTAAAATTTTAAATATAGATCCATATTTAGGTTGTTGAAACTATATCGAAATATCAATATATCTATTTTTCAACAAAAAATATATTTATATGGGAATATTTTTTTTGCCAAAATATCGAATATTTTTGCATTATTTTATATATTTAATTTGTGCCTTAATGTAATGAAAACAAGTGATAAATATAGCGTCGCATATGAAAAACAAGCACTATGATGCTTTTGATTACCGAATACTGTAGTTAAGTTCCCGTAGCGAATAATTATTTAATTATCTGTTGTTCCAAGGGTTCAGTGGCTCTCATAGTCGAGCAGTATCGAGTTTTTTTTATGCTCTGAACCCATTGAAAATGGAAAATCATGGTATAATGGTTTTGTGAAAAAGTATGTAACGGGTAGAAGGAATCATTGCAGATCCCATAAAGTATATACATTCTTAATCAGCACGATATAGCCCTGTCTATCCGTCCGTATAAGTGCGTCGATCTCAGAAGTTATAAGAGCTAGAGAGCTGAAATTTGGCATGCATACTCGTGTGTACCATAGGCAGTAAAAGTTTATCTTATTTTTTCGATAACTCATCCGATAATTGCTTTATCGAGAATAATCGAAAAATCGAGTTTGTTTTTCAGCCTAATTTGAACACTTTTAGACCTAGAGACTTCAGATTTACTGTGTATATACAGTTGATCGATGCGAATATTTGTACAAAACGCATTTCAAGTACTAGAGACTTGTGCTTTAGAATGTACACACATTTTCACCATATGATTAGGCTTTGAAAGTTTCATTAAGATTGTATGTCTACAAAAGAAATTATTCACCAAATTAATTTTCATAATACGTGCTACGTGTGGATGCATATGTATGCATGTGTGCATAAAAGAAGTGCARAATGAGTAGAATATCAGCCTAGAGGGTTCGAGGTATCTCCTAGTCGAGTCTCGACTAGAGCCTTCTTACTTGTTTCATT